GTGATAAAATTGTTACTTGTAAGCATATATTTACATGATTAGCGCCTCGATACCAACTATTTTTATATGTGTCTGATAAAAGGAAACGAGCCCACCACTACAACAGGTAGTAGATATAATTATGTATACACTTCTTAGGACATAAAAATAGGCGTGTGTGGGTCGATTAGAGTGAATGAAAAGGGCGTGGGTTAATGGCCATAGCAACCTTAAAAATAAATGTTTAGAAAAGATGGAAACTCTCTGCTCTTAACCATTCTGAAAAGACATGTGAAATAAAGAAGAATCGGTTTCCATTTCCAAGAAAGTAAAGAACCTGTCCCCATGTGTATTAAAAGCTATGTATATAGGTATTTATAACTCAAGAACGGCTCGATTTGGATGAAAATTGGTGGGGGGTAGCTTTTATCCAATACTTTTTTTACCAAAAATCCTGAAAAGGAACGGCAAAACCGTGATTATGCGTACAAAGTCAAAGGCAGTAACTAGTAATCACAACATAGTATAAAACAAAGTCGCTATCCGCCGTCTGTCTGTCCCTATGTATGCTCAGGTCTAGAAAACTACGCGACGGATTTTGATGCGGTTTTTTTAATAGATACGAGTGATTCTTCAGGAAGGTTTGTGTAATTGTATGTGTAATATATGCATATTGCATACGTACGAAGCCGGGGCGGTTTGCTAGTAATTAATATATTGTCTGACACAGCACTGTACTTAATTAATATTTGCCTGCATATACTTAGGTACTAACACGACGTATTATTAAACATTATTTAAAGGTATAAATGAAACGTCATTATTTATTGAATATTATTTGTTTACACACATATTTACTACGATCCACGTAACAGCAGCTGAATAAACATTATTAATATTTTTAAAAAATACGGTACGGTATGTAGGTACTTATATGTTCCGTGGTTGGAGTTGTCATGCTCACTCAAAAGTCTCATTGGCAGTGGCACGGGCAGTGGATCGCTCGATTCCTTACAACATGGTCGAGTTGGGCGGTGCTGGTGTACGTGTCATGTTCGTGAACGGTCGCTGTCAAATGGGACTGGTCAGCTCCAGACTGTATTAAATTTGTTGTCCTCAAGGTTATTTTCTTTTTCCGTCTCCTTGACCAAATATTGGTATTACATTGTTCTCACATTATTGAACTCAACGAAAGAATGTAACCAAAAATTGTATTATGAACATGATTGAAAAAGAGTGGAACCTATGGAGTTTCTTGCTCGTTCTTCTCCATAGGAATCTACACTTTGGAACGAGCAAATAGCTTCACTAGAGGACTGACATTGTCTTATTATTTAATATTCAAATATTTAGTTTTGACGTTCAAAAGTGCCTTCCTGGTCTAATTGAAATAAATGATTTTGACTTTGACTTTGACGTGTCAAAAAACGAATCTAGTCGAAAATTTTCCAGTAAGTACCTACCTAGATAAAATATTGTGCTTTAATCTCAAACAGTCAGTTCAAACAACAGCAGTCGGCTTTCAGAGGGCTTACTCTTGAATCCAATTCCGATCGACATTGGTTAGTAAACTTGCGTACTATTGAGTTGCAACACTAGCACTCATTGCATCGGTATTGCGTGGATATTGAATGAACTAAATGGTATTGAGTTTGGCTAGTATATTCTGTACTCTATGCTATTTTATTTCATTTTATTTTTATTTATTTCTTCTTCACAAAATACATCAGTAAATGGCGGACTTAATGCCTTAACCCGTTGAAATCCACCTCCTAAATTTGGTCATACATCAGAAAAAAGGTCTATAATGTAATGTAATATTAGGCGGTCACCGGTGACCGCTTGGGGATTTATGGGTTAAGGCATTCCCTTACATTCAACCATAGGGAAGTGCAGAGAAATGAAGTGGTTGACAGCTACGATAGGGGTTGTATAGTTTTGACATTGAATAATTATTGAGATTTTATTGGATTGAAATTGCATTTGACATTGGGATTGGTTTCAAGAGTAAGCACCCAGAAGTGAGTCGGAACTCCCTTGTTTCATTAAATGCTAAAAATAGTTAAACGTTTTAAGAGAACAGAAAAGAAAGATATAATAAGTGTATAGGTATTGTTAAACATCTCATTTTCGAGGGTATACCTAACATAACACCTAAATAAAATGTCTACAATGTTTATACTGCTCAAACTGTACCATAAAGTTATTAAATTAATAACAATAAACGTTATGAAGCCATAACTTTCTATAGTCGTAAAAATGTGGAGGTACTGTAAATAGAGTATACATAGGTGGCTCTTTGGGCTCGGCTGGTAATCGCATTACTGAAAACCTTCAGAAATTATTGTAGGTAGCATTAACTACTACTCCATCTACATTTTGGAATGAGCACCTAGCTTCACTGCCGGGCTGACTGAGACTATTATTTATTTTGTATTTGTTGACGTTTCAAAAGTACCAAATTATGGTTTCATTGACATAAATGCTTTGACTTCGACTTTGATAGAAAATAACTATTATCATCATCATTAGACATATCACGTTCACTGTCCACTGCTGAACAAATTAAGTCCTCTCATATTCTACACAGACTGTTTTAGAAGTCAGTCCCAACAGGGAGTAAAGAAAAGTGCTTTGTTCTTTTGGTTTTAACTACTGTTAAACAGCCGAGACCTAACCCACCTCCATTATGGACCTTATTTCCCATTTTTAGAGGTTGCTTTTAAAGTAATCCTTAATAGATAATATTATAAATCGGAAAGTGAGTTCGTTTGTTTGTTTGTTTGTTTGTTTGTTTGTTCCGCTTTCACGTCGTAACTCCTAAACCGATTGCTTTGAATTTTTGCAGCTGTACAGGTAGAAGTCTGGATTAAATAATAGGGTACTTTTTATCCCGGAAAAATTTGATATTCTCGAGGGAAAACGAAATTAATGGTATAGATGGCGCTGTGTGTATTGGTATATGTCATATAAGCTACTTTTTATCCTTTTGTGACGCGAGCGAAGCCGCGGGTAAAAGCTGTCAAGTATAATTTTGTAACTATGGTTACAGGATGCGAACTTGATGTAGGTAAATGTGTTAATGTTCAATTCGAATAACATATTTCCTCAGTAGCATAAATCTTAAGACTCCTGTTGAAACTTCAACAAACAAGTCTAGGGCAAGATTGGTATGAATTAATAAAGGAAGGTCTGAGAATATTCACGTGCGAAGAACAGTGCTTTATGTAACACAACGTCACACTCTTCGGAGTTTCAGAAGGAAGGTGAAGATGACTGAACATTTAGTGCAGTACCTAGCTGGACGACAAGCTGCTGTGCAACCTGCCGCGAGTTAGATTGTAATGTAGTGCACCTTTACAATTATAATGTACCTATCTCCTTTATTTTAACCAGTTACAAATCACATGTAATAGATAGAGGCAGTATTCTGGACTCCGTACTACGAGGTAGTGAAAATTTGGCGAAAAAGTGGGAAGGAATCTTTTGCCTTGCACTCGTATTTGCTACTACTTAACTAACGAGAATATGTCTTTAATATCAAATATACTTTATATCTTAACGTGTTTATTACTAAACGTAACATCAAACTGACAACAAGTCCCAAATACACTGAAAATCATGTAAATAGAGCTGAAAAACAACAGCAATTAATCTGTAATCTTATCAGAAATCACTGATGTATAGATAATGACGCTATCAATAATTTTAGGCATGACATTTCACTTCCATTCAGACGATGACAAAATATTTTGTAATAACATGACACCACAAATCCTCTTTGTTAATAAGTAGGTAGGCTGTGTTACCTACTTTGATAAAGATAAAATTGCTTAAATACATGTCAGTGCAGTTACTGTGCAATAAGGCGACCAACTTTCTGAAAGTCCAATGCGGGACTTTTTGTAGATAAAGTTTAGTCGGTACACCTACAATTACATCAGATCGAAGTGCAGGAGAAGGAACGGGGTCGTTTTTAGTCAGAGTCTGACACTCCCTTCGGCCTCACCCAGGCGGGAGAATTCATTCGATGATTTCCCCCCTTAAAAAAACCTAGGTACAATTACATTAAAACATAAAACTTAGGTACAAAAGTTTAACTATTAATAAAATCGTATTTATCTCTAGAGCGACACTTTTAAACAAGTTCAGGATTCTTATTGAGTAGGTATGTCATGAAAATCTTCGCAACTTCCCATATTAAATTTTTAAGTACAAGCAGAGCACGTCATGTTTTCACCTTTAGTGACGATTTTTCCGATCTTTATTTATTCGCGCTGTTGTAAGGGCGCGTGTGTTGGTGTCGTGTAGTATGAAATGATATTACCAGTGTTTGTTTAATTCAATGCCTATACCTAATAGACTAGGTAAAGTATTGGAAGGAAGGCAAATATGTATATATTAAAAAAAATATTTTTCCTATTTCCTGTACTTATTAAAATAAATACTTCTCTGTGGTAATTCCCGCCATTTATGTGTCAATGATAAATGACATGACTAAAATGAGAAACTCATGCGAACAAGGAATTTATCATGCAGCCTTTGAAAAATTTCTCTCATAATTTTTGTTTGAAGTTTTTTTTTAAGTATTGGCTTGATGCAAATCATGATTTAAGGATGTTAAATCCATGAACCATTCCATAAATAATAAATTAAATATGTTAATGAATAAAATTATAGAATGCAAAGGGGCATGCTTATTAATTTTATTGTGGTTAAATATTTTAAAATTATTGTTTGTTAGTAACAATATTTTATAAAGTAATACCAACACTACTTATTCTAAAATCTATAACATAATGCCAAAATTATAAGACCAGACAACAAAAGGAAAGAAACCAGGTGATGCCCATTTGTGGAAAAATTTTATGTCTATGAGACGGCTATTTAAACCAACACGGAACAAAATCTAACCAATTACCATTAAACACAGTATGGTCTACATGTATAAACCAAATAAGTAAACATACATGATAAATGTTATTAAACATTTACATAGGATTTGAAGCAAGTAAGCTTACCGCTGGTCTCAGCCTGTTGTCATCAGCCTGAAAGGTTTAATTAATAAAAAAGAAATTAAGCACCATAGACAACAGTTTACTTTTAGTAGTTTACTAGTTTATTGCTTGAAGAAGAGAAGATAGATATAAGCAGACAACTACATAATAACATCAAATAATACAGCATTATGTAAGTAAATAAATTCCAAATATTATACTAAGCATGTTAATCTCACAACAAACATAATTATACTTAAATATTTTGTCCTTCTACATTTGCCTCTAGTAAACAAAATCTAGAAATAATATTAGACTCCGTAGAAACAGTTTCTTTGCAATGATGAAGCATATTTTTTTTAAATCATCTTAACTCAAGGTTAAGGCCTCTTTAAGGTAAATAAGTAATCAATCAAGTCATAAAAAACCAACATTAAATGTTCCCACATTGATATCATGAATAGATTAAAATAGTTTTGGACTGAAAAATTAACATTACATAACAAATTGTTTGATTTTATTGCGTGCCAACTCGGAAGCGGAACTTTCAGTTTCAAAAATAGGCGCCAAACATTTTACGCACTATTTTTTTTTAATGTCAAAGGCACAAGTGCGAAGCGGGTTGGTTGGCTGCTCTAAACGTGATTAAATATTTGTAAAACTGCTTGATTATCATGACAACGGCATGTGCTGAAGATAGAAGCAAATCTTAGTGATTTTATGCGACCCATTGACGACCTCTAAGGCTTAGCAAGGTCATGGAAGATAAATAAATGCGTCTAACAAACCGATTGGCATTCGTGCGATAACAAACATAATTCAGTGACACTATAGATAATAAACTATATTTTACCTTCTTATCTCCGTCTCTGCCGTCAGACATGATTCCTTTTATGTAATAATACTAATACAAAACGAGATATCACAACAAACCGATACAGAGGACCGAGAAACGCGGTGTATTTTACTTGTCAATTTTGACAGAAAATTCGGCAAACTCGGATTATTGATTCTGTCAAAAGCGTTCCGTTCCATTTTACTATTTTTATAGAACGTTTTTCTCGTTTGGAATAAGAGGCAAACAAACAGACGGATATCCTGATGGTAAGCCGCCCATGGAGCAACACGAGAGGAGTCACAGGTGTCTTGCCGGCCTTTAAAAAAATGTGTCGAAATGGTATCGAATAATACTACCATCCAGTCTCATTCTACTAAAACATTTCTTGTTTTATTTTACTATGTTATTGAAATACCTACCATTATTTGCTACTGAGAATTTTTGAAAAACCGGAATTACTTGGCATGACCCGAAGTTGAAACCCAGACCCACACTCGGCTATCGCACCTACATCTCTCTTTCATATTTCATCAAATATCTATAGGGCAAAAAAAATATATAGCATGACTATTGATTGGAAGAACGTTTACATGTCCAAATTTGCAACGGCATACTTTTATAATAATAACGATTATCACATTTCATATTAGACATAGTTTCGTTTAGCATTATTATTTAGAGGGAAAGCAATAAAATACCGGCTCCTCAAATATCACCAGCAGGTGGTTTAAAGGCCGGCAAACCGAAGCTGTGGTAGTGAGTTAAACCTATCTGCGACGATAAGCTCGTGTGGGGCCGCCCAAACCCCGCAGTACCTACTTGCGTGCTTAATGTCTGATTGCATGCTGCATGCTAGCTTATACCTATGCTGCATGTCTGATTGCGTGCTGCGTGCCTGCTACTATGTTGCCTGCCTGTATGCTGTGTATGCACGCTGCATGACTGCTTGAACGCCGCGTGCATACCTGTCCATGTCGCCTGCTTGCTGCATGTTGCATGCCAGCTTGCATACTTTGCATATTTTATTCTTGTTTGCATGTGCTTTTTATGGGGAATTAAAAACCACTTACGTTCACAACTGTTTTATTTAGAAAATACATGCAGAATTAATTTTTGAATGAGTGTACGTGATATGAATGATAATTAAATTATGCCTTCCATTTATAACTTTAAACTGTCAAACACCAAGCGGTCACTGGTGACCGCAACCTATTGTTCTATAATTGTGTCTACAAAACCGGTACTCGACGAGTTAATTGACTTCCTGACTCCCATCCTTTGTGTGTTTTGAACACTTTTAATTGACTTACTTCTGACTTTTCAATATTTAATTTACTTAAACGATTTTAGACCATCACAATAAAATGATTTGACTACTACTCCCACTAAATAAATGATTTTATTAACGCCTGATCACACAGATGTAGCAATCAATGCTATCGTAGCGAAAAAATATATGTGGGTAGTGTCAGTTTACACACTACATTCTGCGATATGATAATGCTTGTCAATTATTATGGACATGAAATTTTGAATTAGTGTCAGGAACGCATGATCCAAGTATTTTGACCCCCGATAGAACTTTCTCTTGTAATATTCGACTAAAACGGGTGGTTTACTGGTCTCCCATTTTAATAAAACGAAGCATAATTTCCATCCCCCCAAAGCTAGAAATAAATTTGAAACGCTGGTTCCCCTATTATTTTTATACTCTTTGCTCTGGTGTTGCGGATGGTCATCATCGCTTGCTCCATGTCGCATAGAATACGAGATGTAAATATTTTTGCTTACCTAACAGTATTTGCTTATCTAACAAAATGATATCTTTGAACTGTACCAAGTTTGGCTGTTGATAAAACAATTCCATGTCTGCACGAATGCTTTAAAAGTTAAAGGTCTTTGATCACTAGGCAACGGGAATATCACGATCGAAAACACTCAAACAAAAATAGATTGCGTGAAAAATATCATAACAAAGTATGACTGATAGTGTCCCCTACATGTTCAGAAAAAGGAAGATAAGATAAAAATTCCAGTTCTGTATTCAACACATATAATAATATAAATACCATTACATTCAGTGCGTACGTAGTAGCCACATCGCTAAATTCTACATTATTTCGTATAGCAAAAATACTGATTTATAAGTTTTATAACAACAGTCTAAAATATTGTATAATACTTTCGTTTTTTTTTTGTAATATTGAGCAATAGGTAAATTAGCTAATTCGAGTGAAATAGTCAGAAACCTTACTATTGAAACTCACGCATTCCAACGAATGCGTGTCGTTCCAACTATCATTTGTGAAGACGCATCGAGTTTCGGTAGTAAGAATCAGACTCAATTTTTCTAGGCCAATTAATTTAGCTAGACTGTACAATTTTACGTTTCACAAATACCATCTCGAGTACAATACAAAGTTTGATCCTGATTATTTTTATTAATACTCATTTTTAAATCTCAATCTGACTTAATTATGCATAGGTACATGTCGTAAAATCAACTATTTCGCAAAGTGGCTACGACATAAAAATAATAATAATTATTCACAATATCTAACATTTTATATACACTTATTACAAACGTAAATAAAAACAAATAGTTTAAAACAAAAAAATTAACGCTTAAAGAACAATATGATCTTGTTTCACCACATCGTGGAACCTAATCTGCTATTACAATTGTGTCAGAATGATCAATCATTGAGCAGTGCAAGAGGGACAGAGCTATACAACCTAATAGCTCCATCCCTCTTGCATTCTGACAGTTGTGCATAGCAGATTTGGGTCCCTGGTTAAGTTTTAATTGAACTTATGAATTTTGTGAGACATACTAATTGAATTATTATGCTTTTCGGCCCTCGGAACTCGACTAATTCAAACTATACTAGAGGCTCATATTCATGAGCTGCATTCCGCGACACACGAGTTCACACGACGCGTCGTCGTGGGTCGTATGTTGAGTAGCAGATAATTCCATATTTCTTTGTGTTAAAATATGAATAGCCGAAATTACCCCGTACGCACACATTGTGTTTTCTATGTCTCATATACCACAAAAGATTAATAACCAACCCATGGATTCAATTTACGGGATGTAAGCCAATAAAGACTTATTCGACAGTGGTGAAACAGGCCCTTAATATCCAATAATATAATATTATAGACAAGCCAACAACTAATATACATTTGAGTAGCACATTAAATATAAATCAACAGTAAAATAACTTAATTTCACAATAAATCATCTATTTACATATATGTGAATAAAGGGGCAATATAATGCATATTTAATTTTAATATTACTACATAAACTCAGAGACAAACAAGATTACATTTTGTTACATGTTTATCTTATTATTTATATTGCAGTTGCTGACAGATAAGTGAATAAAAAATATGCAATATAGATTTATACAATACTGAACCTTATTCTACACAAATAGAGTCCAAAACTCCTTAACTCTTTAGATATTTTTACCAAATGTATATGATTTTCAACCATACTACAACATTTTAAAGTTCAATATCAAGTGTATATGTATTCAGTCTAGATGTGATAGGGGGCAAGGCTGTAGTTGTGCTTTAAGAGTAATAAGACACTATTGTCCAAATACTGAAACACTACTCATATTCTACTATGACAGACTCAGTATCTATTCTCAGTACTCTCCAGTTTATTAGTTATCTAGAGGCTTATTTGGTCACTGGGAATGAATCTAGACAGTACATGCAAACTGAGAAACATATTTGAGCCATCATGATCAACACTTATGATAAACTAACATACCTACAATACAATTTACGGCCCAAACATATTGTGTAAACAGGAATGACTAGTGTTTCAATATTTGGATGTTATATAACTTGATTTGTATCACAACAAATTCTAATAACATCTTTTCCACTACAAAACAATCTGTAGTTTTTAAAGACATGTAAAAGTGCTATTTTATAGTCTATTATCATATATAATTGCCGAAAATAGTTGGTTTGTAAACACAGTGCTATTCTTAGCTTACATACTTGCATGACACTACATTTCTAAATTAGGTGAGGTGTGGAGGATGAATCCGTGTTGCGGTCAATTTTTATATTTGTATTTTTCATTCTTGTCCTTGGGTTCAGTCTGACCACTCTGACTCCCACTGGGAGCCTCATCTCAGCCTGATGTCCACTGTGGAATATAAAATAGCAGCAGTTAACACCTCTTCTTCTTGGAAGACTAAGCAGCATTATGCAACACCTATTTCTTAGCCTAAAACGAATCCCATGTAATATAAGGTGTAAAATAATATTTAAAAATATAAAAGTAGGAGCAGACTAGTAGCAGGAGCATGATTCAAGCTACCAGTGGTTATGGCTCCAAAGACAGAAACCTCCTTACAATATGTGCCATTTCAAGGAGAAGTCCCTTCTGTATCAGGCCCTTGATCCATCTGCCTAACGCCAGCCTCCTAAGATAAAAGTCGAGGCTTTTAGGCTTTCTAGGCTTTTAACCCTTTGGCTGACATGACTATCGGAACAATGATAGCCGAATCCACATTCCACATGTCAACAATCGCGTGAGCTAAGTCTAGATATTTTATTTCTTAATATGTCTAGCTTTCATGTGGTTCTCATCATGGGGTATGGTGACATTGATTATCATGATGCGGTGCACTTGTCTGTCTATTACCGCTATATCACACTTATTGGTTACAATATGCTATGCTATCCCATAATATTATAATTTAAAAAATCCATAAACAATACAATCCAAGTCAACTTCTACTAAATTCATAGTAGTATTGTTTCTTATAAGTTGACCATGTTGATTCATTTGATGATAATAATAATTACTACTGTTTTATACAAGTTATGGATTTTAACCAGAACAATAAAATGATCTAACGACTGATACTGAAGTATACCCCAAGATATGAAATTGTAATATGGATTATACCTTTGTTATTCAGTATTAAAGTTGAGGTTTAAGATTGACATAACTTTATCAGGCAGTCTATTTGTTATGAAGCTTCTATTCAAAACAGGGTGATATTCAATTAAACTGTCAAACACCAAGCGGTCACCGGTGACCGCAACCTATTGTTCTATAATTGTGTCTACAAAACCGGTACTCAACGATTTAATATCATGATACTGTACAAATATCACCATTGAATAACTATTAATATCAAGATACTGTATATAATAATTATCTGATATGATTTTTTCCTGGAAAAAATACTTACTCTCAAATTAGCACCACCCTGCCGATTTAATTCTTGTTCTCTTTTCTCCATTTCTTCACTTCTCTGTTGGATGCGTATCACCTTACTGGGGTCTTTCACCCCGCGCGAAGCTTCCTGCGCCGCGCGCCGCTCCGCCGCCTCTACCTGCTGCCGACGTCTGGTCTCCTATACTCGGAATTTTAATTCGATTCCAGATTTGACAATTTCAGTGTTGCAACGTTATGACAAGTACTAAATAGTGACGTTGCGAAATTATTCGATATGGAAATGCAATATTTCTGGATCGATTCTTCTCGTTTATAATTTTACTCTCGTAAACTAAGTATATCAGGAAATTAAATATTTCTGAACCGATAATTTAGTTTTGACGATTAATTAACGATCTGAGACTTTTCTTTTATAATTGTGTGTGAAATAAATAAAAAAATGTAATCATGAAGGAACATGACAAATAAAACAGATAGATGTATTATGGTAATAAGTTATTTTATAAATTGTCGCCGTCATCGCTATCGCTATCCTGTCACTTTCTGTAACATTTATTATAAAACACACACACTGATTGTTTATCGATTTTTGTGTTCATCACTACACTATTATATGTGGTATCATTATTTCACAAAATGACAGTAGCTATTGTCAAATCTGGAATCTAATTAAAATTCTGACTATAGTACCAAAAGTAGGTAATATTCAGCAAAAACATCGTAATTAAGTTCTATGTTATTGTTATAGAACCTTTATTACTAGGGCATGAATCATAGTCAAAACAGATTATCCTTAATTTAGTCGTTGTTTATGTCGTTGTTGTGTTAAAAATAAGCGACTAAAGGACCATGATAAGCCATTTTGGAGGAGTTCCTCATACTTGTTATTAACACTGCCTCTTTAAAGTTATTTAGTCCAGACGTCTGCCTCTAGATTATCACAATATGTTGCAATAAAAACAAGTTTTGATACTTCTAAGCCATTTCCTACCCGATCAAGTAAAAACAAAAAATCCAGTAGGAAAATGTATCTTTAGATATAAACTTACGGAGTCTGGAGTCAATACTTCAGAAGCTGATGGCCTACAGCAAGATGTGAATATCCCCATTTTACAGAAACGTTATTTTCTCGCACGAAAAAACATAAAAACTACAATCGTAACTTTCTTATCAATATTACAAACGTCATTTATCATTTATCGCCATTGACATTTGACAGACAGTCAGACATTAGCATAGCACTAGGCAGGACCAACAACGTAACGGCGGAACAAGTTTCGTCCAAAAATCGATATCATTCTTTATAAAACTTTTGGGAAATACTGGCCACAGGTACAAGCTATCTCGTAAACTAATTAAAAATGGAAAAATAAAGTATCATATTTAGCATGACAGTCTATAATGTCACGTTTTATAATCAAAATAAATACGAAAGTAATTAGAATGCACTCAATAATGCAAATTATACAACAAAGTAACAAAAAGGTAAGATAAACATTTTAATTCACCATTCGCTGCCAGATCCAATGCATATTTGCCATTTCTTAACAAACACTTGCAGTTATACTCAACGATAATACTCAAATTTATGCAATATAATGAAGCATAGAAACAAAAATATACACTGCCCGTTCGAGTTAATAATCGATTTTTACCGTGATGACCAAGGTTGTAAATAATAATTAGGTCAGCAGGTGTTGCAGATTTGTAAAAGTTGAGAACTGATTTTGCATAAAAAATAGTAATAATTAGAAAGTAAAAGAAGATTTTATAAGAATACTATTATAACACTACTATAATATTATAAACAATAATTATTTCGACAAAGTACAATTTTATCGACTAAACTAATTTCGAGTCGAATCGAATCTTCTGCAGTACATCTCTAACGCAAAGTACATTTTGTTCGGGGACTGTCGAAATTCGTGAAATAAATTGTAAATTAAATTTACAAAATGCTATCGCGCGTAGCTTTGCGTTCAGGTATGTATAATTAACTAATACATCGTTTAAAAGTTATTAAAAGTGTTAATTGCATATAGTTTTTTAACCTTAACCCTGGGTTACGGAGGTTTATGTAATCACTGATTTGACGGGTGTCTCCGCGATTGTGGAAATTGTTTTCGCGAAAATTTGCCGTAGTATGTGATTATAATAAGTTACAGGTTCAAATTACGTAGTTTGAACCTTTCTGTCCCCTTAATTTATCGAATCAAAAATGGTATAACCTATAATATGGGCACCTATTATAGCTCAACTGATAAATTGATTTTGCAGATACTGCAGCTGATTGCCATTAGGTTTGAAAATTAAGATGTTTGAGGCATTATGCCGTATCTTTCTGACTGAATTAGCAATTCGCCATTTACTTTTTTATGAAGTAAACATTTAATTTTAATAAAAATTTCCAATATGAATACTTACCAATTGCATTACATTATCAGTAATAATAAATATAATATGCTCAAGAAGAGAAAACACTAATCTAGGGCAAAATAATAATTAAAAAAATATATATTTTCCATCATCAACAGCTGCGGCCAGACAGTCCACAGCCCTGGTCGCGCGGGGCTCCGCCACCGATGTCTCAGGCGTCCGTGATGAGAAGAACTTCCCCAGGCCAGTCAGAGCAGTGGAGCCTGGCAAAGTCAGGCTGGGATTCATCCCTGAGGAATGGTGAGTTTAAATGTATTAACTAATCTACATATTAATTATTACTGCTGTGCCCTTACAGGGTCCATAAATGTAACTTAGCTTCAAGCCTATTGTAACAACTTATTCAATCTATAGTATGAAAATAGATGAATATGAAATGAAATATATTATTGAATTTGTATTTAGGAGAAGATTTTTTAAATACACAGTCTGACATGCGTGCTATCCATCAGTGTAAACCATTAGCAAATTAGCAAACTGAAATACACAATGGTTAGAAAGACGGTATTTGACTAAAGTAAAGAGGTTTTCTGAAAAATTGTATAGTTTTAGTAAGATATCTGACAAGGGAAAGATTTTTTACATAATAGTTATGAAGGCTAATTTGAAGCAATTTAGGTGAGAAAGAAGATAAATACAATACCTACAATTAGTTAATTACCAAACATAAATAATATTAATACATTTATTAGTAAAAAGGAAAATCCTCCATTAATATCAGTCCCCAGTATCCCCACAAAATTCAACAAATTTGAATTTCATTTCAGGTTCCAGTTCTTCCACTCAAAGACCGGTGTGACTGGTCCATACACCTTCGGTGTTGGTCTGACCACATACCTGTTCAGCAAGGAGATCTACGTAATGGAACACGAGTAATACACCGGTCTGTCACTGCTCATCATGGTTGCTGTAGCCGCTAAGAAGTTCGGACCTAGTCTAGCTGCGTGGTTGGACAAGGAAGTAGATGTGAGTTACATTTCATTGCGTTTAATAATTAACCTTCTGACCGCTGCAGTCGGCTATAGCTGCCAAACTAAATGTACTTAAATATCATGTTTTTGTCTTGTTGACTGGCCGACTGTGATGGATCATGCCATATTTTGTTTGTCAGCTACAGCAGACCGTAGCGTTCAAAAGGTTAAATAGAAATCTCTTATTGTATTTATATTTGGGTAAGGAAGTATCACAGAACAGATTACCTCAGTCTGCAATTGGTTGCAAATCAACTGAACGTTGCGTGATAAAAATAAGAGTATGTGGGTATACCCAAATGTTTTCAACTGTATTAAAATCAATTCATAATGATTATTCCAGGCTATTGAAAGTGACTGGAACTCAAGCCGTGTGGAGTCCATCAAAGCTCTGGAGGATGCCGTAGAGGCTGAGAAGAAGGCTCAGTGGCGCGCACAGGGCCAGGAGCTCCTCATCGAAGCCAAGAAAGAGAATGTACTGCTGCAGCTCGAGGCTGCTTACAGAGAACGTCTCATGAACGCCTACAGCGAGGTTTGTACAAATATTGTTAAATTACGAGGCTTTTTACGAGGGAATATACTTTTGCACAATTCCACAGGCTCGACCGGAGTGGTACTTCGGCTGCACAGAAAAACGGTGTGATACAATACTTGTGTTGTGTTTTTCTGATGTCGCAGAAGGATAGCGTCTTATAGTATCAATCATTCGTATTGTTGTTATTATACATCAATAAAGAATAAGCTACTTCTGTTTATAAACTGTTTAAGTTGGATGAACACAATAATTTCTTTAATAATATCGCCTATTTATACTATCTCCAAAATTCCAGGTGAAACGTCGTCTGGACTACCAGCTCGAGAAGTCCAACGTAGAACGCCGTCTCGCCCAGAGGCAGATGGTGGACTGGATAGTATCCAATGTGACCAAGGCCATCACCCCAGACCAGGAGAAGCAGACCCTGGACCGCTGCATCGCCGACCTCGCCGCGCTGGCCGCCAGGAAGTGAACACGCGTAGTTTATTTATATATGTAATATAATATGTGATTAAAGTAATAAATCATCGTTCGAGTTAGGTTCTTGACTTTTATTTTACCACTAGCTTTATGGCCGCGGTAATTTTATGACCCTAACAATTAACATTCATCATATTTGTTATTATGATCCTAATTATTAAAACTGCATAAAAAGTTGAGTTTAATTTTTGAGATTTGAGAGGTGGTGGAGAGTGCTACTTTTTGTTTTACGGAAGAAAAAAAATTGTATTCAGTATTTCTTCTTCTCACATAAACTGACGACCTTCGCTCTTCGACCATTGGACAATAATTATTCTCCCTCCACCTAGCGATCGACAAATTAGAATTTATTTTGCTGACATACCTACCTATTATTTAGGTACTAAAAAATAAGTAGGTACTTTAATACTCGTTCCACATTATCAGAGTCCATATTTATTTCGAAGTTCATAAAATAGTAAGAAGTGTAGTAAAAGTGGGTAGGAATTGTTTGACGTTTGGCCTTCATCTCGCCTGGTGGTGCACGATGATTCAGCTTTTGATGGAGCACGTCTGCCCATAAGCGACCTATTCACTCGAGTCTTGATGGCACCCTGGTCAGGAAACACAGACTGGCAACGAATTCCACACTTTAGCAGTACCTACACACAAGGAATGTATTTCTTGAATGTCATTTACTTTTAATGATAGATACATAACATTGGTAAAAGTGGATTGGACGTTTTCTTCAATCGCCTGAGACTGCTCGGTCAGTCAGTACACGGCTAATGGCGATTTTCATGAAAATTACGTCATATTGAGAGACATGGGACAGGCGTGAAGTTATGTATGTATGTAAAAAAATATCGGTCTGTCGGTCAGTCCTCTAGTGAAGCTATTTGCTCGTCCCATAGTGCAGATTCCTATGGAGAAAAACAAGCAAGAAAATCCATGTTACTTTTCAATCAGGTTCACAATACAATATTCTTGGTTACATTGTTTCATTGGTTTAGTTATGTGAGAACAATGTAAACCTGTCTACACAACAATGCAATGCCACGCCCCGGCGCGCGGCGGCTACTACAAACCAGGCACGCCGCAAACCGCACTACCACCGGCCCGGCGCATCGTTCTCAATTTTTGTTCGGAGACGTTGCGCGTGTTTCGAATTATTACGTAATTTCAATATTTGACATGGATGATTTTTTTAAGGGGGGAAATCATCGAATTACTTCCCCCGCCTAGGTGAGACGGGAGGGCGAGCCGCGGGCGGGGGCGCATGCGGCCGACAGCGCCCGCCCAACTCAACCAAATTGAAGTAAAAGTACAATAAGTTTTTTTTTAAAAGGGGTAAAATCACCGAATGGCTTCTCCCTCCTCGGTGAGGCGTGAGGGAGTGTCGGACTGTTACTGACTAAAAACACCCCGTTCCGCTACTCCTGCCTTTCGAGCCGGAGCCCCGGCAACCCGTTAAGTATAGGGATACACCACATGAAGTTGACGTTCAAAGGTGCGTTTCTGGTCTATTGAAATAAATGATTTTGATTTAGACTTTGACCACTGCACATGCCACCGCCAATGAGACGTGAGCATGACAACTTCAAGCTGACACAAATGCATTCTACATAGAAGTTATGAAAAGTGGGTAAGGAATGTTTTTGATTCACATGTAACGCATGTAGTACAAGCGCGCGTGAGTTAGTGTCAGACTCTAACTGACCAAAACCCACCCTGTTCCTGCTTTGAGCTGGAGTCTCGGTAACCCGTTAGGTTATCCGCAACTCAAGTATTTATGCTTCTGGAATATTTAGATGGAAACTCGATTCTACCCAACGGTGGTACAATTCTTTGATGGGTGGACGGAGACGCAAATTAACTTGTTACGCAGTTGTAGAACTGAGAAAATGTACATAATTTTTTTAAGGCAAGATAAAGGTAAGATAACTTTGTCACCTATTTGAAATTCAAAAGTGTATATTTCTATACATAAACATAAAAGGAATCAACTAAAATTGGGGGTTACTCACGTAAATATACTGAGAAAAGCTCTACTAGTTTTGAACCACAGAGGGGTTCTTCCTCATGAAGTCATGAGCAGCGTGCGCGGCGACGTCGCGCAACTCACTTATTATAATAACATAAAAGGAATGATTCAAAATGAAAAGCAGGCTATGTTACAATGATTTATTTTACAAATACAATAATTAGCTGGACAACAGTTCTCATTTTAGTAGGTTACGGCGATAGAACGCCACAAGTTAAAGCTCTTCTTACATATTGCACCGACACTGTGTCACCATACGTGGGAAACTACATGGTAGGCCCAAAAACTCTTAGGAGGCCATATATGAGAAATTACCATTAATTATATACCAAGCAAGTTATTTTTACTCAATATTACCATAGATATCGATTTATTTACATCATTGCTTTTTTGGTCTGGTATGGCAACACATTAAAAACTCATTTCAGAAATCGAATCCTACAAGTCTTTCGGTTTAGTGTTGCTAGGTTACAAACTAGATTTTACTACCAAACCTAGAAATACAATTTATGATATTTATTTGTAAACCATTGCACTGAAATTAAATATAAACTGAACCAGTGGTAAATTAATGTAGGCATACTCGAAGTATAAATAATTACATACCATATGAGTTCACAACACAACAAAATACTGTTACTGACTGTACAATATTTAAAGCAGTTGCTAAAATAAATAAATGTTGACAATACGAAATTATAACATTACTTGATTAACCATTCTCAAAAAAGACGGGTAAATTTACTGGAGAATATTAGCCAGTAATTACAAAATATTTCTTTACAAAGCTGTTAAAAGAATGATTGTAAAACATCTACTGATACTTTATAAGCTAACTTGATATAAAATCATTGTAAATATGTATATCAAAATCAGTTGTGCACCAACAAATATACATGCTTAGCAAAAAATGTGTAAAAACCAATACTACGATATAAAAATATATATCTCTTTTTAAAATTAACTTACAAAATGGTAGCTTTCTGGTTAGCGGTAAGACTGGCAATACTCATACATTTAATATTTAAAAAATATTCACCTTCGCCTAATGTAAAGATGGCGGTAAGTTGTTATATTGTCTCTGGCACACTTTAATACGATGACAGCACTATAAACCATAGCCAGTAGTTACCGGTAACCAGAGAGCTCATGATATACACTTCACTGCTTGTATAAATCGAATGTATCATTTAAATAAAATTATAAATGTTATGATATCTGAAAGGGCATTAGGCCAAGTTAACACATGATTTATTAACTGTAGGTCAACGACATTCTAGTTAAAATACAGTAACTTTAATTAGGTACAGTTGCCAGCAAATCAACTTAATCCAAAATGTGAAATTAGACTTTATATCAATGCAATTAAGTTGAATATGTAATAGAGATATTTGACACAAAAGGATAATTTGAACTGCTGGCCACTACACATAAGTTAGTAAGACTAATATTCGTTCCTTTCTATCTACCCTTTTGTGGGTAAAAAGTGTAGTTATAATATGTTATTTATTATTCTTATTTTTCATTTAAATGACACATTAAATTCGAACATCTAACGCTAACCTAAAATTAATTATTGAACGACAAAATAAAGTAACAAAAATATTTATACACATTAGTATTTGGTTTCTAGGCGTCCATAATATTATATAAATACGATACGTACAAATATTTTATATTATTTTACGCAACTTTGTTTATTAAAGTGTTATTTATTATTCTTGTAGTCAATTTTATTTTTAATGCCATTTTACTTGTGTAATTCATTGACCATGTAATGTATATCTTTTGAAAAATTCTATTAAATAAAAATAATAATGGACGCAGTTCTGGTTGATTAAAAACAGTTGCACAACAGAAAAACTATAGCAGTTGTAGTTTAATCAACATCGCAGTTTATCCTTAAAAAAAAACTAAAGTTATTCGATCGAGTTGGAATTGACCGACTCATAAAAAGTAAAAAGAAAAAAAAGACTGACCATGAAAGACACGCGTCCACATTTAAAAAAAAATAACAGTAATGAATGTCTAACAGAAAAATGGACTTAATAAAAAACTATTCTGGCGCCGCCTTTAAAAGAAAAAAAAAAACAAATTTCCAGGATTACATCCCACGAAATTATTGTGCTAAAAATGACGACTAAGAATAAAGCTATAAAAGCACCGTTTTACTAGTAAAATGTGCTTTATGTACACTGTATGATGGTCTATTATATTAATTTGTATTTCAAAAATCGTTTCTATGTATGTAATTACATATTATTAGCTACCAATATTTATATGTACAGGCGCTGCGCAAACATACGACACTTTTTGTTCCCAGTTGTCGACACCAAACACGATTTGATCGATATAGAATATGTGTTAAGTGGACGCAACTGGACACGCGTATGTGAAAGAAGTGGATGATTTCATACTGGTTCTACATACATAACATCATACCTTTTATCCCCGAAAGGGTAGGCAGAGGTGCGCGTTATGGCACTTAATGCCACTGTACAATGTAAAACCCACTTTTCACTATTTGTGTTATGAGTCCCATGTAATTGGGTGTGAGCCTATTGCCATGCTACTACTGAATTGTTTTTTAAAAACCCAGTAATACTTTGGGGGAACTGAACCCGAGACCCCTTTCCCGGTAGTCGCACTAGCGACCACTCGACCAACGAGGCAGTCTGGTACTATAAAATTCAAATATTTATTGGTCCGATACCAGATTTAAAGTCTACGTTTGCGCCTTGCCTTAATGTATGTACTCATAATCTTCAACTATTGAACCTTGTATTGATATAAGGTGTAAATTTTAAATATGTGGCTACTAGTAAACAACAAAATTTTTCGCATTATTTTTGACACAGATAACCTCAAGTATGGCACTGAGAGTGTTAGTACCAAAGTGATGGGAAAGCAATATTCTTACAGGTTACACTAACTTCTATTTATGATAATGTTGAAGTTTCAACTATTTATTCAAACATTTACTTGAAAAACTCGCTTCTAAAAATATCTTTAAAGCTATGCATATTGAATACAATAA